GTGCCTCTTTAATTCTGTTTGTGATGGGAGCTGTGCCTCTTTTCCCCTCTCATCACCAGCACATGCAATGACAGTGCGCTGCAGCCCCTGAGCTGTGACAGCAGACCAGAAGCACGAGATGTAACCACGGGGGATGACAACCTGGACACGCTGCTGATAACRCACCTGAGGCTGTGCAAAGGTCTCCTGCAGGTACACAGCAGCCTGGGGCTCCCAGCTGTCATTGATTCTGATTACAGGAGAAATTAATATGCAGCTGTTTGTTCTAGAAAAAACTCAGAATGGAAATTGGGTACAAAAAACTCAGTGTACACTTGTGACACAGAACATGTCATACAAAACTCGGCTGCCTCTTTTGAGCCTCTGGGTTTTGCTGAAGCTYTAAGCAATGCCTTTGTGCCCGAAGCAGGCTGCAAATGCACAGGCTTGGTTTGGGTAAGAGGGGATCAATGTTTGAATGAATGAAAAACTTCTGCCACAGGGAGCAGGTGCTGGGATGGACAAGGGTTTCTGAGAGCAACTGGGGTCTGCTCACTGCTCTAAGAAATAAATCCCCTTTATCTGGAGCTTGGTCCTGCCCTTGTTTCAGCTCCTGAGTTATGTCTTTTGCATTTCAGAAACTGAGAGCACCAAATGTAGCCCAGGTTGTCCAGGAGAGCATTTTGGAAGAAGTCTCGGAGCAAACACGAGTCCTGGGGGATGTCCTGRATCTGTCTGTTGAGAAAAGTGAGTTCTGCTTCACCCCAAGGCATGCAGAGCTGGGAGAGCTGCACCCCTGACATGCTGCCCCAGACCCAGCAAGGGTTCATTTGAAATTCCTTCAACAAATCTTTAAAGCAGCTCTTATATCTTGATTCTTGGAAAAAACAGGGCTCATTCTTTGGTTCGTTTTTTCTTCTGCACAGAAGGAAAAGATTTGCAGAAGTTTGCTTCTAAGAAAGAGTAGTTGAAGTGTCTTAAACAGGGATGTTGGAGCTGGTAGAGTTTACAGTCAAAGAGCATCAGAGTAGCCTTAAAAAACTCCTTTTATATCTGTGCTTTTCTGTGGTRAGCAAACAACCCAAATTCTGTGCCCACTTGCAAGAACAGTTTTGGTGGGCAATATTTCCCATCTCAGGCCTTCCCACTACTGAATTCTTCCATTGGCTGTGGGCTTGGACAAAATGATAAAGCAGATTGGGAGGCTTTGTTCTCATCTTGGTAAATACAGCAACAAGAATGCAAATTTTAGTAGGGAGCATTTGCTGCCAGATTTCATCCTGGAGGATGTGAGAATGAAGTGTTCCCTGGAGCAGAGCTGCAGAGGGTCTGGTACAGTGTGGGAGTCTGAAATGCAGGAACAGCGAGGGRTGAAGGGTCCAAATGAGGGATCAGRGGGTGTTTCTGCTTCAGGAGCTCYGTGAGGGGTGAAGGGTTTGAGAGCCCTGAGGTCACAGCTCTGCCCTGGGCAAGGAACGTGAGGCAGGATCCCTAAAACACCCCTTTGGCTGACAGAAGGACAAGCACTCAAACTCCCAGGAAGTTCTTCTGGAACTGCCTCCTGCTGGGCTAAAGTGAACAATAAGAGTCTGGAGAGATGCTGGTGGCACTTTAGGAGCTCAGCCCTGGCCTGGKGAGAGCAGTGCTTGCAGGTGTGAACATTCTGGAAGCAAATGTCCTGTTTTGAACAAAACARTCTAATGCAAATGCAAGTTAATGCTGCCCCATGTCCAGATGGGACCTCTGCTGCCTAATTTCTCATCTAAAATCCCAAACCTGCTAGAGCTCACTGACTTTTTAAAATGCTGTGTTTCAGTTATTCAGAAGACTAAAAAGAAGAAGCAGTATCTGAAAATCTGGAGTGATCTTGCAGAGCCTGGCAGCAGCATCCTGGTGACCTCAGCAGAAAGGTTCCGTCACGCCCTCAAATACACAATGATGCTCAAAGTGAAGGAGAAATACCCCAGCCATCTGGAGACAGGTACCTCGAGAGCACAACGCTGTGCTGATTTCCCTGTAGTGCTGAAAATTGTCCTAAAACTCCCCAAACCAAACCTCTCACTTGTTTCCAGCAGCTCATGTGTAACCAACCTGCTGTTTCCCCTTTGTCCCTCTCCCCGTTTCCCCTTTGTCCCTCTCCCCGTTTCCCCT